GCGAGTACAAGTGGAGGCCATTCTTCTGATCTTGTGGTGCCTCACTTTGGATAATGGGCTTAAGTTTAATCCAGGAAAGTATAAGAGTTTCTAGATCACTGTCATTTCTTATGATTGAGTAATATTCCACTGTATACGTATGCCAAATTTTAATAATCCACTCATGGATTGATGGGCACTTGGGTTGTTTCCACATCCTTGCAATAGTGAATTGTGCTGCCATAAACATTCGGGTACAGATGCATTAAAATGGTCTAAGATGCTACCCTGAACATTTCACAGATTCAATGCAATCCCTATTATAATACTAATGATATTCTTTGCAGAAATAGAAAAAGTCAATCCTAAAGTTCATATGAAACCAAAAAAGAGCCTGAATAGCCAAAGCAACCCTGAGCAAAAAGAGCAAAGCTGGAGGCATTACATTACCTGACTTCAAAATATACTACAAGTAACCCAAACAGCCTGGTGTTGGTATTAAAACAGACACACACACCAAGGGAACATAATAGAGAACCTAGAAATAAATCTACATATTTACAGCCAACTTATTTTTGACAAAGGTGCCAAGAACATACATTGGGAGGACACCTCTTCAACAAATGGTGCTGAGAAAACTGGATATACACATGAAGAAAAATGAGACTAGACCCTGAGCCCTTACCATAAACAAAAAGCAACTCAAATTGGATTAAAAACTTAAATGTAACACCTGAAAAATCAATCACTAATAGAAGAAATCATTGGAGAAATGCTCCAGGACACGGATCTGGGCAAAGAATTTATGGCTAAGACCTCAAAAGCACAGGCAACAAAACCAAAATAGACAAATGGACTACATTAAACTAAAACCTTCTGCATAGCAAAGGAAACAATTAACGGAGTGAAGAAACAACCTGTTGAATGGGAGAAAATATTTGTGAACTATTCATTTGACAAAGGACTATATCCAGAATATATAAAGAACTCAAACAACCCAACAGGAAAAAAAAATCTCATTAAAAAGTGAGTAAAGGATTTAAGAGACATGTCTCAAAAGAACACATACAAATGCACATATCAGAACAACATCTGTTGGATGCTGGGGAAGGGGGAGGGTGGTGGGAGGAGAGGGGAGGAGGGAGGAGG